TTTCTTCTCCTCCTCTCTCTCTCTCTCTTTCTTTTACTCTCTCAGAAGAATCCCTCTCAAAGATATTCTCGCATCATTATTGAGGGGAGAAGACCGATCGATGAGACGAGATCTAGGATGCGAGGTCAACGGTTGAACGAGTTGAAATGACGAATCGTCGCTGCGCTGCGTCGAGATGACGTAATGCCGTATCAACGCGTTCGCATCGTGAGCCATACCGTGCCGATGACCTCAAAACCCATGTCTGTCTTTTTTCCCCGAGAACAGTAGCCCGGGGGTCTCTACCCTTTGCCCTCGTGTATATACGGCACCGTTTATCTTTCAGCGCTTTACGCACACGCCCGGCAACGAGTCCCTCGTCGCCGAGGCAACATATTTCGATCGTTTCCTGAGGAACGATGAGAGTCTCGTGTCGCGCGATAATAATACCGTCCACCCGGTCGAACCCTCGCTGCTCCCCTCCCCTCCCCCACCCCCCGGTCTCTTGCAGTTGTCGCGAAATTTTTCGTCTCACGAAAAATCGACGCGCGTAAACGCTTTACGATCCACGCGTTTTACGCGAATAGCTTCCACGGACATTTGCGTTTATCGTTCGCCGGGCAATCATCGTTGCGATAATGCCGTAATAATTGACAGTCACGCGTGCCCCTTCCCCCCTCGTTGTATTGCAATAACACGCTTCGCGTCGCGTGCGATACGAATAGTGGGATCATCCAGTAGTTGACCATATAATCGACCTTGAAAACCGCTTTACAATCGCGATTACGTGTCACGTTATATGTTACATTTCTGCAAATAAACCGCTCTCGTCACATCGGAACGGAATGAGACGTAATTATGTTATATGCAGCAGCTCGTGTCACGAGAAGAAAAACTCAGAGGAAAGAGAGAAGATTTTCTTGCAATATGTAGTTCATTATTAGATCTCTCTTAGCACGAAATTATGAAGAAGGATCTCAATAATTATAATTCAAAATTCAGCAATTTTGCAACTTAAGCGACTATGGCTATTTCATGGAGGAATATAATTCCGCTTTTATGCAATTAAGTCGGAAGAAAAAAAATTTTCTTATATAAAAAGCAATATTCTCTCTTGGTTTAACTCTTGCTATAAATGCGAATTCATATTTCTCTCAAAACATCTGCTTTAATTAGGGTATTCGAGCAGAACTCTCGGGATCTCTTCTTGCTTCATCAGAACACAAGCAAGCGTGCGCGATGTCTAGCATACCGGAACATATTTAGCTCGCAAAAAGCATCGATCCTCTCTCTCTCTCTCTCTCTCTCTCTCTCTCTCTCTTACTTATCTTATTTAGAAGTTTGAAAGTCGCCGCCCTCTTTTTCCTTCTTGGAATTATGTATTTCACATTTGCGTCGAAATTACTTAGAATACCATCAAATTGACGTGAAGTTTAGCAATATATATTTAATGAAAGACTCTAAGTTGGCGAAACTTTTTTAAATTTTTTGTTAACCGCGCAGATCAGCTTCCGCTTTTCCACTCGTCCGACACTCCGTAATTTTTTTCCCGAGCCTCGCGCGGTTACTAAAAAAAAAAAAAACCTCCAAAAAAGAAATGTTTACAACGAAACAAAATATAAAAAAAGTGTCAAAACTTTCGGCGTTTATAACTGTCGTTTTTTGGCGCAACGAGAAAATGTCACTCTTCTCGTAAAACATCCCAGTTGTAAAAATAACTGAAACAATCAATTTGTAGAAAGCAGTTTTGACGTGTAGTGTAGACTGCCCTGTCATCGATCGTTGTGTCGTTTCGAGATGGATGTGCGAGGATAAAGAACTTTGCTTCATCGCGCACAACTCACTCCTCCGTCGAAAAATGTGTATTGAAACGTATCCCGGTGCTTCGAAATCTCTGCTCACGAATTTTCGGAGAATAGCGACAGTTATGAGAGTTGTATCATACCCGCTAGATGGGATATAATTTTCATTTTTGAACAATAAACACGACGTAACGTTAGAGCTCTTGCGAATGTCGCACGTAAACAAGAAACGCGTTCTTCCTTTGTTTTTCGCTCCATTTCTTATTGTTCTATATTTACCTTGTACTTCTTCCCTCGTGTCTTTTCGTGCGTGCGAGATGTATGGCTAATATATTCATAAATTTCGAGCGGATGGACTCCGCGCAAAAAGCACAAGAGGACGACGACGACGAGTTCGCGCTCCGACCGATAAATTATTTCAACGACGCGGGTAATTCGGCGGGAATTGCTTTTAAAATTTTGTAAAGAGTCGTTCGATGCAGTTAGGGGCCCTTCTCTTTTATGCTTAATCCGACGATACGAGCCACCGGATTCTCTCTACTCCGCGCTTACCCGTCCTCGTATTCCTCCTCGGGACCTTGCTTACCGTTTGCCGTTTTATTTCTTTCTTTTCCTCCTCCCCCCCTCCCCCGCGTGTTACTCGTCCCCATTCACCCTTCCTTCCCCCGTCGTCCCCGTCGCCCCTTCCTCCAAGCCGGAATCGAAGAATCTATGTTTCTAGCACGTGTCGCTCGTCGTTGCTTCCATTCTCTCGCGCGTTCGTTACATGTCGTTGAGTGCACGCTCGTGAGTTTCACGAAATGTTAAAGTGTGGAGAAAGAAGAGACCCGCCGAGCGATAACGGCGTTCAGTTTGCATCTCGCCCCGTTGCAACTTTAGCACGTCGCTTCCTCGCGAATCGTCGTGCGATTCTCGTGGCATGTCTCCTCCGTTGCGTCCGTAATCGCGGCATATGAAAGTTTTCGCAAATAACATTTCCAGTTTTTCAAAAACCAAGCCAGCCGCGAAGTGATATTGCAACCTGAAAAACAAACTGATGTATAAAATTTTATAATGACGAAATGGCTGATATGGTCGATGATGACTGATATAGTCAGTAGGAAATAAGAGCGTAATTTTTTAATGAACGGATCATCGATTTGGCTAATAAAAATAGTAGTTGGCATAAAAATATGTTTTTCCGACAGTTTATTATTTTTTTACGTATAATAATTCCCCATATATTATTTTTTCTTGCATATAATGTATATAACGGATGTTTGACAATTTTTAAGATGTTACGGTCGAAGAACTTTTTGCCGAGAATTTTCGTCGTGTCACGTAATTCATACGAATATCGACCATAAGCAAAACGATAGGATTTCCTGTTACGAGCCAATTTAATCCTATAAAATCATTTTTTGTGACGAACAACTTGCACGCACGCACTTCCTCCGAAAGCAAAATTGCATGCGTGACATGTACGGCACTCTTAGTAATTACTGTAATGAAACTTCGTGATAAAACCTTTGATCGTGCAGAAATCGAAGTACAGTTTTTTTTTTTCCATTGGAATACAAGCTTTTTAATATTCGAAAGTAATTATGCTCACGAGAATTTTTAATGCTGCACACGAAAAGAACATTTTTGCTAGCAAATCTACAAACTCGATCAGATACAAATCTGAAAATAGTTTTATTGGGTCTTCAAAATTATTATGTCTAAATTGATTGCTAGACAAAAATTTTTGCAATATTATTATCATGTTTATGCGTCCTATGTAATAATTTTGGTGCAAGAAAATTATTTTCAGATCTGTATCTGGCTCTAAATTTTTAGATTTGCAAACCTGTTCTCTTCGTGTAGTTAAACTCAAGTTTTATAAAAAGATGCTCTTAATACACCAAGACGTTATCAAATTATATGTGATTCGTTTAATATTTTCACTTCTACGTAAACGGATTATGGAGAATCCTCCGCTTTCTTTTAACGATAAACGAGAATATCCAGGGTCTGGCGAATATTATTGAAGTTTAAGCTCTTGCTAGCACGCGACTGTAAGATTCTGATGCCTGACGTCAAAATCTGTTTCGTTAAGGGCAGCGTAGCATCTCGTTCTCATAAACATCCCGATACGCGTGCTGCTCCCGGGTTTAAAGCGCGTTGCAGCCATGCTTTTACGATGAGAAATTTTAAGCACGCCATCGTCGTGTTGCCGCTCGCTCATAAATAACGATTCCCGTTGCATCCCGTTGCATCCCGCGATCTAGGGCCGGTCGCGTTTGTCCGAACCGCATGGTAAAAAAAAAAACTTTTCTCTTTTTT